TAAATAAAGAGAACGCCAAAACCTAAGCAAGATCCTTGAAAACCAGGTGGTGAGAAAAATAAGACGTGTTATTAATAAAAGTATGGAAGGAAAGGGAAACGACCAAGGTACTTGATTATTTACAGCGACTGAATCCTTATATTTACTCGTTTAACCGTCGCAGGGCTTGTTTTAGTCGGTTGAGTGCTGAACTGCAGAATTTGTGGCACAGTTTATTGTAAGACGTCATTTTTTGTTTTAACCTCTCCACAAGATATCAAAGACGAAACGTCAGTTACATTGCGAAATGTAACAAAAAAAAAAATATAACTCACCTTATATTTTACTAATGCAGAGACCTGCAGTTTAGTTTTTAAATTCAGGAGAATCAATATAGACAAATCGCATCTATTCTACCCACTTGAATAAGTTTTAATTTTTTTTTCTCGAATTTTCCCAGCTTATTGGCAATTCTGGATATTGAGATTAGGTCGAAAAGGATTAAAAATCTTGTCTTGACTATTGTAAATATCTTTTAAACTATTATTGATCATATGTTCCAATTTTTTCAATGATAAGGTCTTCCCAAAATTTTACTTAAAACTTATTTGAAATTGGATAAGAAAATTTGACCTTTTTAAATTCAAAACCAAAAAAGTTGTCTGATCCCTAAAGTACTGAACAAAACAATTGGTGCAAATCATTCTAGAAGACTCGAAGAAAGAAAAAGGGATGACAAAATTGCGGAATGAAAAAACAAGGCAACTAAACTGCTTATTCAGAAAATTACGAGTTCAGAGTCCTTCGCTTAAGACAAATACGTCAATATTTCACCTTAGTCCCTAAGTATTATGAAGATCTGAAAATGTGAATAAATAAAATACAGGGCTGCACCTTTCAGGAAGTCAGAAGTGAACACTTTGAAATTAAAAAAGATTAAGTGCCGAAAAAGGAACACATCTGAGACAGTCCTGCCCGACGAACTGATACAGTGCGATATTATAGTAGTCTGCTACACAGCTAAAAACGGCTAAAAACGGCTGTGTAGCAGACTAATATTATAGTAAACTGGCTGCGTTTTTTACCGAAAGCCTGTCCCATGAAACGGTAACGACATAGAAGGAAAGAGAGAAACGGAAAATTATTTCTTGGGGCATTTGTCCATTTTCGACACATGATTGGAATGCAAACCGCTTTGTCATGGTGCGTGGCGCGTTCCGCATTTTAACTATATCAAACGATACTCTCCGCCGTCAAATGTTGATGGTAAAATTCTACAAGTTTAACAAATCCGACTGGCCCTTTTTTCTACGTCAAAATCCATTTCTATCCTTTTTACCTAAATAGCTAAAAATAAGGGATTCTACTTTACTGAAAAAAAAAATGATAATAAAATAAAGGCAAAGACAGGACATATGGAAAACATTAATGTGAATTTAATGGTGTTGATGTTTGATCAGTTAATTGTTTATCCCTGAGATACTGGCTCATTAGGGCAGGAGACAAAGGGTCTGCAGTTTAAAAAAAGTTAATTCGTGGAAGCAATTTCTTTAACTCGGCCTTCATCAGGACAGCGAAAAAGAGAAATCAAGGTAATAATGTAGGTGATTATTTTTAAAAGGATGCCTTAGCGTTTCTCTTTTAGTTTCGTTTAATTGAAATAAAGACAACCGCATGGTTATTAGGTAAACCCTTACTTCATTCAGCTGTTGTTCTACCTTCCTTGTAAAACATACAATTGTTAATAAATTCTTGCAGGTGTTCGGGGTGGACTGATCTTGCGATTAATTTATGAACTACATCATTTGCCGGGATCATTTTTCACTACATAGTAGAGCAGTGAAACTGTAAATTAAGTATTATAACATAGCGCGCGTGCTTGCCCTATATAAGTCCTATTGAGCCGCTATGAACAAAATCTTTATTTACGCACGCCCGTGCGTAAATAAGATGACGTGTTCAGCAGTGTTTTTCGTCCCTTTTCCTAAGTACCCAAAAATCGACGGCAATGATAAAAAACTTTCTAGACTTTTTTTGGAATTTAGCTTTGTTCTAGCCACTCAAAGCAACAGCAAAAGCGGTGACATTTTTCGCAAATAATAGAGCCTGCATGATTCGTTGAAACTTGAAAGTCTGCCGTAAAGACTGACATTTACTTGGGAAAAGACCACAAATTGGTCTGTGTCGGAAAATATCCAATTTGTACAAAGTGTCCTCCGTTTTTAACGTTTGTTTTATATCCTACAAAACAAGTTAATTAAAAAGTAAGCTTGACAGCAAAAAATTATACACTTTTGTTATCGCCGAACAATCCGACTGAAGCAGGAAAATTTCTCTTGCAATAACAAGACAAATTACACAAGGAGACATGAATTTATTACTCACAAAAACAACTGCTGCCGGGTCTTCTCAAGAAGCCGTAATGACCAGCCATTGTTCGTAAATGAATATAAGGTTAACGTAGGATGACAGTAGTCTTCGCTGAAAAACAAGTTTTCTGGATTTCGACGAGCAAACATAGACATCTTTCAAGCAAATCCAAACAGTACTCCACGACTTCTTACGAACATGTGAGTATTTTCACTTCAGGCGGACTTTAAGACTCTTTTTCCTTTATTTCTTTTTAGTTTTCATTGATAGTTAACGAATAAATAAGCAAATGTTCTTTCTCAGTTTTACAGAAAGAATTTTCATTCAAACTAAACCATTGTGGCGTGTTTGTAATCAGCCAATAGAAGCGTTTGTTATTGTGTCGCGCGTTACGAGAATTTTGTAGTTAATCGAAAAGCAAGCATTTTTGACAGCTATGTTATAAAAGAATTTGCTCACGCTTTTAGCTGTGCGTATATCGAGTTATGGATGCACTTGGGAAGTTTGGAGAGCACTCAAGAAGCTAGAGTTGCACTCGGCTATCGCCTCGTGCAACTCTTACGTATCTTTCGTGCTCTCCAAACTTCCCGCGTGCATCCATAACTCGATATACGCACGCTAAGCATGAACAAATTCTTAAATGGTCGGTGAAAAAACTAGGCAGATAGATGGCAAAATCGATTAAAGGGTGTTAACTTTTAATCATTAATTTCAATTAAATCAAGGGTTCTGATTGGCTGAAATCCAAAAATTGCCGAAAAAACAGCGTGAAACGTGACAAAAACAACTTTTTTTAGCTTTATTTCCCCCACTCTCCTGTCTTTTACCTCACGGCTAAGTTTAAGAATTGTCCTATGCGCCAATCAAAAGTTACAGCGGACAAAGTGCAACACGCGCGTCACATTGTTGTGAACCATCTTGGATGCGAAATTTGAGATGTGCGGAAATTTGTGTTTCACCCGAAGAAATCTCGTCTATTTCATCGCTTCAATCTACATATTTCCCCTCATCGATCGTTTATTGCTCTGCTATTGATTGTTGAATTACTGTTTTTAGGAAGTCGTCAATGTGGATGGCGATTGCAACATTTGTGTAACTGATGAACGAGTCAAAAATAACTACCTTTTAACGTTAAATTTCAGCACAAAATTTAGGGAAGCCGTATCTGCATGTGATATGATAGTGTACACATTATCCAGTAATAGGAAACTTTCAAGAGCAGGAGGTACTGACTAAATACCGGTTTCAATGTAATAAAAACTACTTTATTCGCAACCAACGGATGAAAATCCAGGGGCAGATGGGGTGGTGTTAAAGTGCAAAATAATGCAAGTATGATTCCTTTATAGTTCATTTACTTACAGCCGAGCGAGATTCATATTTAACAAACATCTTTGCCCGTTTTATTACTTAGCTACATATAGTTAGCAGCTGGAACATAAGAAATATTGGCTGTTTGCTCGATTAATAAACTCGAGGAACTGAATATTGACTGTTGTTAAACTAAAGAGAAATTAATGCCTCGATCATTCTGAACGGCTTAAACATGTCTCCCTCGGAAAAATTAAATCGAAGAAACTTTCTTTGAGTTTTGTAGTTAAGAGCTTTTTTTATTTTATTTAAAGCGTTTCCTTGATTTATTTTTGCCGTGTTTGCATTCAAGATTAAAGTTTCAATAATTTTGGAAATGAGACAATGAAACTATCATTAACGAAGCTGGATTAATTGGTTTGTGATCTAGGAACTGTGCAGCTACTATACAACTGTTTATGATGTTAAAATTTGCCTTCGGGCCCAAAAAGTTACCAGGCCTTTCAAAAAACGGACCCCTGTCCAGAGGAACATTCGATGTTTAATTGCAAATAGAAATACAACCATAAACAGCAAAGAACTATTTTTCAAGCCATTTAAAGCCAATGATATCCTCTTTTCTATTGTTCATTTTGTGTGTAAAATCAGTCACAGTTGTGATCATTTGGAAAATGCAGACTTTGTTTGCGGATTTCCCAATCCAAAAACAAAATAAATGATACGCATGTGCGAAACAATAACAATTTTTCTGTGACATGGATTTCTAGCCTCCCAAGCAGGCGTTTTTGTGGGGAGAGACGAAACTTCTGCGTGGGAGGCTAATGGATTTCAAGTGACACAAGATCCAAAAATCCAGATGTCATACCCCTGAATTCCTGATACCAACCCTTATAATTAACATTTATTTTAATTAAACACGTTCCTAATTTGCTGCTTAATTTTCAGATAGTGACATGTCAAGTTAATAACATATATTTATAGCAGCCAATGTTGTCATGGATGCGTTTTATGAAAGCACACCCAGAATTCAAGGATAAAAGGACGAACGGTCTGTGGTTTCAGTGTCTATGAACGACAGTTATCCCACAGAACACCAGACAAAGACTATAAAAGACAGAAAGGGTGAGTGCAAAAGGAGAGTGATATCAACATTTTCGGGAAATTCATTATTGATTGAAATCGTACAGTGGAACACGCGAACCTCCTAGTAACTACTGAATAAATTCCAGTTGATCGGAGGGAGAAAGAAAAATAAGCCGAAAACCTAACTTTGAGGATGAAACTGAAATATCTCGTGTAAGAAGCTTATTGGTATCTGCTATCTTGAAAAAAAAATTTCAATATACAATTTTAAAAATTCGGTTATACAAGCAATGAAGCAAGCTTCATTCATCGCCACCTGTGTCTTCAACGCCTTCTTCGGTTTTACCGCCATAACGCTTAACATTGTAACAATACACGCTCTGAGAAAACCATTGACGATACCAAGAGCTGTAAAAACATTACTGCTGAGTCAGGCAGTATCTGATCTTGGTGTTGGGTTACTGGTTCAACCTTTGTACGTTGCATTCCTTGTCATGATGATAAAAGAAAACACTCAAACTCGAACTTTTGAGATTATGAATGACCTTTACGGAAACATAGGGAATTTTTTTACTTTCGCCTCGTTCTTTGGCGTTGTTGCTTTAGCTACAGACAGATTCCTGGCCATTCATCTCCATCTGAGATACCAGGAACTCGTAACTCACAAGCGCGTTGTTACTGTAGTGATCTCGACTTGGATCTTAAGTGCGATTGTGATGTTGCTTTTGGGATGGATCTCGTCAGATGTCGTCACGATTATTTTTTTAACTGTTGATGGTGTTTGTTACCTAACAACAGCCTTGTTTTATTTCAAGATTTACTCAGCCGTACGTTACCACAGTAATCAAATGCAAGTCTTGGAAGAACAGTTAGCACAGAACAATGGGGGAGATATGGAAAATGCTGCTAGAGAGAGAAAGGCTGCAGTTGATACATTCTACGTCTTTCTTGTGTTTCTGATTTGTTATCTGCCAAACATGTGTTACTGGATTATCCAAACAAGCACCGGACCAAGTACGGTGTTATGGCACTTTGGACTTCATTCTAACACGCTGATGCTCCTCAATTCATCTCTCAATCCCCTGATCTACTCCTGGAAGATGAGACCTGTTCGACATGCTGTCATGGAAATACTGAGAAACATATTACCAAATCTACACCAGTGAGGAAAAAAACTCGGCTAAACAGCTTAGTTAATAACAAACATTAACAAACTTTGAAGGTTAAAATCAATCCTCTATGTACCTCTTTTCATAGCAAAGTTTGCTATTTAGCTAATTCTTGAAATTGCCCTGCACAAGCCGCCCATGAACTGATTCCTTCAGTGGTGCTGTTATGTAGACAACTTTGCTCATAAATGGCTTCTTCGTTGCTTAGTTAGTGTGAAAGGGCACTCCATCTTATAGATCGTTAAATTAACTTTCAAGGTTTCACTTAAAAAGAAGTTATGCCAAATTTTAGGAAATCACCAGAATCGAGAAAGTGAAGATATCGGAAAAAATGTCTAGTGATATATAGCGATGGACAATTTTGTCGAGTCCATTTTTCTAACTTTAAATTCAAATTGTCAGAGCATGCGATGACTTAGTAGCAAACAATTTCCTTGGAATAAAATCTGAATCTACTGTCAAGCTGTTTAAATTGTCCTTCTTTCGCGGTAACGCGGATCACTGGTAAAAAAAAAGGTTGAGAGAATTACCAAAAGGAAGATCAAGGGATCGGACTAGAAAGGAGCGGCTGGGGAAAAAATCGTCGATACAACGGTGAACAACAAGAAATTCTCACTGCTTCTCTCTTTGTTGTTCAAATCAAAATTGCTTGCACGAACCCTCGGCTTTCGCGACTGTTTACTACTTTATTTGACGTAATCTCGAGTGAAAAGGTTTGCTGTTAGTAATAAAAGATTTATTACTAAACATAACCATCCCGACAGGGGCACCCAACGACAATTTTCGGAAAAATATCTGTTTGGAAGACGATTTGAGATCTAGAATTTTCGAAACATTTGTTGTAAAATTTCTTGCTTGCCTGCCTCTCCTAGGGTTTTCGAACATCTAAAAAATGGTATAATAACCTATTTTTAACGGATTTTACCCTAAAAAGGTCACCTATAATTTTCGGGAGCCTTTTTCTGGCTGAAATTTTCGAAAAGGTAAGTTTTGATCCCTATAATTTTCGGATCACTAGACTTTCAGCTAGGAAATCCGAACAGATGAAAAATTTCTAGGGGATAAAAATATGCCTTTATCTACCTTTTATATACTAAAATACGTTTAACAATGCTATGTTTAAGTGGTTTTGAACTATATTCTCGTTGGGTGCCCCTGTCCCGACAAGCACTACAGTTCCTATTTAGCGATCACTAAAGACGCATTCGTCCTTTGGCCCCAAGAATAGCAATCGAAACATTTAAAGCTTTTTAGCAGACCTTGAAGGAAAGAGATTGACCAGATCGAAGACAAGTAGGAAAATGTAGTGAAAAAATGGCGAGGAAAGGTATGGAAGAAGGAGAGATTCCTCGACTCTGTACGATTTCTCTGTTTGTCACAGCTCTAAAGTGCATGGCGAATATTACAGTACCTTCCGTTCAGTTCAATTTTTTTGAAGATCGGCGAATAAATTAAATGCAGAACTACACTTGTTAGGAGTTTGGTCTTGTACACTACAAAAATTTAGAAGAAAAAGCGAAGAAAGAACACATCCGAATTATCCGAGATGTCATAAAAGTTATACAGTGCAACATCAAACTTTTAAAATTAACTGCAGGGTGCATTTTTAAAAAGGGCTTCTCTGTCTCTCCTGTAAAACAGATAAAAGTCAGGTTAGAGGTAAAAAGCGGCGTTTGCAGATTATCTATCCATTTAGCTGATAGGATGATATTCCATTAAAATATCAAAAAGTGTCAAATGTCATACTCCCGAAACTTCTCTTTGATATTTCAATGGAATATCATCCTCTCGATCAGCTAGGAGAAAGGTTTTTGATGACGAAAACACTATTGCGCCAACGATACGTTTACTAGTTATTAGCATTTTCTCTCTCTTTATTTGACACTTGATGTAGCATTTACCACAACAACCTTGACAGCCGGGACCAAAAATGTTGCCGTACCTGAAATCTTAATTACTGAGAATGAGAAGGGAATAATTTATGAGTAGTTTCTCTAGAATGAAAAACGGACAAAAAAATTGAAGATAGGTAGATATTGATCTCAAAAAGTAAAAATTACTTTATTGACTTTTTATTGAAATTTATCATGTATTTCTTATTAGAGGTCTTATCAAGCAACACCTGCCGATCAAGTTCGTCATCGTTCGTATAAGAAATAACCAACCATTCTGATCATCGAAATATATTGGAAGGAATGAGTTTTTTTTCTAATTTTCTCTTATCAAGACTGGACGATAAAGCTATTTACAGAAAGTAGCTGCTATGGGCTGATTATTGAGAAAATAAAATTCTTCTGATCTTGAAAATAGGCGAACAGGAAGCGCAGGTTCCTTCCTCGAAAGTTGGTTCAATTGACTCCCTTCAGTCTTATTGTTGTCTTTGATTTGCAGAGTTTGCCAACAAAGTGAGCATCTCATTGTAAGCAAATTGTCTGAGATATTTCCATCTATGAAGAATTTTGTTGTGTTGATACATAAAACTGTGCACGTTGTTGAATCAAGTTTGACATCAAAAGCGATGGAACGATTGCTGCAGGCAAAACGGCGACTATTTCTGGGTAACCTTTTTATTGCTTTCATTGTCAAAAACATTAACCTGCTGGGGATCATAGGTGAGTTTTTTTTGGTATGAACGAAAAATTACATAGTTAGATTTTTTTAATGTTCAGAGAAAGCTTATTTGAAGTTAGCCAGTTATACAAACAATGAAATTTTGCATTTACTGTAAGTTTCAGTGTCTTTAAATCTTTATGAGGATAAAGAGCATTAGTGTCACCAGCAAAAAGGAAAACTTGGAGTTTGCTCGAACAATATTGGATGTCTTATTTATAACGCAAGAAAGAAGTGGACGTAGGATAGATCCTTGGGGTACACCACAATTGATATTTAGTTTACTAGTTCTATGAGAGCCGATTTCAGTAGTTTGTGTGTGATTTGATAAATAAGAGAAAAACCATTGATTGACAATTCCACAGAAGCCATAATAATTTAGTTTATCAAGCAGTATATTATGACTCAGTGTCAAAGATTATGCTTGCATCACAGGCATAATCAACCCTAGTTTCGTCGATTACACAGGTTACATGACTCTAGAGAAAACAGACTGACAAATGCCCCTGCAGGGGAGGAAGGGGGTGGGGGTTGTGGGGTGGAGGAGGAGAAATGGGCCAGGGAGGAGTTTCAAGCTCAATTCTTCTTGAAGGTGTATTTTTTGTCATTGAAGCAATGACCAGAAATATACATCTGAGTTTGCAGGTACCTGTCAATTTGTTTTTCTGTAGGTAAGAATATAGATTTGAAGTTGACAATAATAATCTTAGAAAGCAAAATGTTGCTCACTCTTTGGGCTCAACTGCAGAATACCCTGCCACTTTAACGCAACCCCTAAAGGTAAGTGGATACTCAGTCACTACGTATCTGCCTATCCACTTTGTCAATATCTTTTTAATATTAGTCACTGCATATTCGCGTATCCACTTCGATATACACTTAAGACAGCATATAAAGCATATAGTATGTCTATAAAAGGTAGAAAAGTGCATAAAAGGGATAACTGTGTATCCATGTGTCCAGCTCTTTCAGGGCTACAGCTTTGAAGTAGCAGGGTATTCTACAGTTACTCCACTCTTCGTATCATTTTTTCTTATGAAACAATAATCATACACAAAATCTCTCGTTTAACACCACCACTGTACACCTTGCACGCTGATATATGAAATACCCCATCAGTTTTCACCAGCTTCTCAAAACTCCTTGTACCTCCACCTACCCCAAAATAATGTGTTTTGGCAGCCACATATACCACGCCATTGGGTTTCTTAAGATGGCTTTTGATAAAGTGATACAGTTTAACATGTGAGCTAACTTCATAGATTGTTTCGGACGTTAAAATTACATCATACATCATTTCCTTAACTGGCTTTGGGTTTATTATATCCACGACACTTCCCCAGTCACCAGAAAAGAAGCGGCACCTCTTACTTGCAATTTCTTTTAGGTCAAATGACGGGGGATCAGATTCGTAGTTTGTGTTTTCTTTTAGCCGATCAAGATTCATCAGTACATTAGGAATCGTGACATACTGAATCACATCCTCGTTGTAGTCTTGAAAGTCAACTTCAGCTCCTTTTAGTAGAGCAAATATTCCAGGCAATCCTGCTCCACAACCGATTTCCAACACACGTTTTCCTTTGAATTCAAGTCCAATTTCCATCAAATATTTCACCAAATCAACGCTGCATTCCCAAATTTTAAGCCCCCCTTCATAAACCAAAGGTATCAAATCACTTCTTTTTTCGGAAGCTGTTACAATATCGCATGCAGAATTTCCTTGCTTCTCTTTCAGATTTTGTTCAACGCTTTCTTCACAAACATGTTTGATGCTGAAGCCGCCATCGCCAATGGCCAATTCATCAACTTTTGAAGATAAAAACGACGAAATATCAGACGGAATTACGATCTCCTTTGCTGAACGTAAAGTTTCAGGGCGTGGGAATAAAGAGGGGTGAATTTCTTCCTGGGAAATATCTGCTTCTTCATCGCTTTCTGGTGACGCAAAATTGAACTTGAAGTCCGCCATCTTGTATTGCAATGTAACCACTCCTTCTATCATCGCAAAAGGCCTGGATCAACGTCGGCGGGAAGAAAAGCTACAATTAGTATTGATAGCATGTGATTTTTTATTCACTGTGTACGCTCGATCTTCCTTAATTTAAGCTTGGCAAATCACCGAAAAAGTTGAAATATAGAGAGTTTTATACTGTCTTTGTGGACGTGCAAGATGAACCCCAGTCAAAGTGGTTTGATTGTATTTTCACTTAATTCAAACAAAGAATTGTCCGCGAAGATCGCCAGGTAGGGTATTATTAAATTCGTATCTTATGATGGGCTCGTGGCTTTCACAGCATTTTTTGTTTCTTAGCTGTCGCTTGTTTTACCCACTTCAGAAAACTTGGAATCGAGCTTGCTCCGTGCGATGTTGGAAAATTTCAGAATCAAGGTGAGAGCAGTAGGAAGCTGATATAGGCCACTTGCACTAAGAGGTCACGTGACCAATGCTTCCTTTAAACAATGAGTTGGAATCTTGCTGATGCCAAAAATTGTTAGAGCTCACAAAAATTATGTTACACCCGAAATTTGAGAGGAAACGCATTTAAGGCAGATATTTTGTGGCACTTTAATTTTTCAGCAAAGTAGTATGATTTGTATCGGCCGCCATGTTGGAGGGCATGCT